AAAAAAAAAAAAAAAGAAAACGAAAAGAGAGAGAGAGAGAGAGAAATGAATGAACCTCCCTGGCACAGGGAAAGAAAAATCTTGCAATCTGAGAATCTGCTGACAGCAAACTATCAAAGAAAATACAGAATTGGAAAGTTCTCAGAAGTATTTGTGGTTACAACAAATATGCCTCAGGCCTAGGTATCTTTCTTTTGTAAAAAGCTTCCAGCTAATTAGAGATTTTTTTTTTCCTATAGGAATATATATCCAATTTATTATTAAATTGCTGGGATTGGTATAATTTAAAATAAACTGTAACCTTTCCTCTTCCACCCCAAAATATACAGTATTTACTCAATAAAGCAAAAGCCATCTTATTTTTCCCATCATTTTTGCTGAGACAGGTCACTCTTAGAGGAAAAAAAAAAAAAAAAAAAAAGAAAAATCCTGCAGGCATAGTTAGAAATCATCAATTCAACATGACATCAGTCATATGAGTTGCTCAAGAACAACTCTTGCAGGAGTCAGGCCTTCAAAACTGTGTATACTTTGGGCCAAGAACCTGACACACCCAGGCTGAAGATAAATAAACCAGTTTTCAACCTTGGCTGTGCATTAGGAAAACCTGGGGAGTTAGGAAACATCCCCCCACCCTCAAAGCCTGGGACCTATCCCAGACCCAGTCATCAGAATCACTGGTGTTACACCCCCACCTGAGTTTTCTATTTTAGGTTTAAGAAAGTTTGTGAAGGCTCTCCAGGTGACTGTAATGTACAGCAAGTTTCGAAAGCCATTACTACATTCCAAGTAAGGTTTCTTTTGTCTCAAATCAGACAAATACTTGCACTAGATTGAATCATCCACCTTCTGAAGAAAGCTTTTCTCCAATAGCACAAGAGAAGAAATGTTCCTCTATGCAGCAGAACTCACTGCTAAGCCTGTATTTGCTCCCTCTCTATGTTCATGCTCAAAATTCTATGCTTTTTAAATACACTGCCACCACTCCATGTATCCCTCTAAAGCCTGTCGCCCTCCCAGACCCCTCCCAAATACACCGGTTGAGTAGACACAGAAGTGGTAAAAAGGCTGCACTATCTCATCAGTACTTGGGAACAGAAGTTCTCACTGAACTCATTTATGTGTCCTGGTCACACATTGTCTAACAGACATTCCAGCTCTCCCAACAGCTGTATCATTACTAAAAGTCAGACACAATAGCAATGGCTTTTTAGCAATATGGTATCAGACAAGTTGCTTAATCCTCCTGGATTTTAAGGTACAGGACTAAAGATATTCCCTTCTGTAGAGAATTTTTTTTTTTTTTTTTTTGAGACAGGATCTCACTCTGTCGCCCAGACCGGAGTGCAGTGGCACGATCTCGGCTCACCACAACCTCTGGCTCAAGCAATTCTTCTGCCTCAGCTGCCTGAGTAGCTGGGATTACAGAAACATGCTACTACTGCCCAGCTAATTTTTGTATTTTTAGTAGAGATGAGGTTTCATCACGTTGACAAGGCTGGTCTCAAACTCCTGATCTCAGATGATCCACCCACCTCAACCTCCCAAAGTGCTGGGATTACAAGTGTGAGCCACTGTGCCCAGCCTGGAATTCTTATTCTACGGAGTAGAAGAACTTCCAAGCATACTTTGTGTTGCATCTGCAAACACAACTGTCTTTAGAAGTATAGAGTCTAGGCTGGGCATGGTGGCTCACACCTATAATCCCAGGAAGGATTAAGGGAGGGAGGCTGAGGCAGGCAGATCACTTGAGGTCAAGAGTTTGAGACTAGCCCAGCCAACATGGTAAAACCCTGTCTCTACTAAAAATACAAAAATGAGCTGGGCATGTGGTAGGTGCCTGTAAACCCAGCTACTCCAGAAGCTGAGGCAGGAGAATCGCTTGAGCCCAGGAGGCAGAGTTTGCAGTGAACCAAGATCACACCACTGCGCTCTAGCCTGGGTGACAAGATTAAGATTCTGTCTCAGAAAAAAAAAAAAAGAAAGAAAAGAGGTATAATGTCTAGTATCCACTCTCTTTGATAATGTTGATCTACTGCCAAAACCTATATGAAACAATATATCTAAATTTCCATCACCAACTAGAATTCCAGTGGAATATGGAAATTCCTCCTTGATTTCAAAACTCCAGTAGGGATTTGATCTGACACTTTTTTAAACTGTGGGAGGGAATTCTTAAGGCAAAATAGAAAAGTTGGGTTGGGGCATATTCCTATTCATACCCCAAAAAGTCAGCTTAGGGTTCCAAAGTACACTTAGGACATCTCTGCTTCATTTCCTTTGAGGTTTATCTCCTTTCCTCTGCTTCCTATTGTCTGCATAAGTCAGTGTAACGGCAGGTCAAGTGGGGTTAAATGCAAAATGAAATATATATGGTTTATTAGCAGCCAGATCATCTTTCCACCCTACTTCTTCCCCCACCCCTCCTCCTTCCCCCACCCCTCCTCATCAATAAACAAACTTGTCTCTGGGCTGCAAAACCCTCACAATAAAAAAGGGGAACTGCAGCCAGGTGAGGTGGTTCCCGCCTGTAATCCCAGCACTTTGGGAGGCCAAGGCGGGTGGATCACTAGATCAAGAAATGGAGATCAACCTGGCCAACATGGCGAAACCCCGTATCTACTAAAAACACAAAAATTGGCCGGGCATGGTGGCATGCACCTGTAATTTCAGCTACTTGGAAGGCTGAGGCAGGGGAATTGCTTGAACTCGGGAGGCGGAGGTTGCAGTGAGCCAAGGTCACACCATTGCACTCCAGCCTGGCTACAGAGTGAGACTCCGTCAGGGAGAAAAAAAAAAAAAAAAAAATGGAGAACTGCAGCAAAAGATGCTGCTAATTCTGCTTTGCTTCCAGATGCCATTATAAAGGCACTCATCATGTTATCTCCTGGTTAATATTTTTAAAAGAATAAAATTGGATAATTTGGATAACTTTAAATAAGCAAAAATGTTTTTGCTTTTTTCAGATTCATCCAAGGTTTAGAAAATGGGGAAAATGAAGTATTACAAGGGCAAAGGAAAGTTTCTGATGATTTTTCTAGGTCTAACCTTGTTAATAAAGTCTATTAAAATAGTTCTAGAGCGTACTCCTACTCATCTTATTTTCCCCAAAATTCACTAAAATAATTTAAAATAATAATTACTGCATTGGCTCATCAGGGGAGTGGTTGTGTCTGACTCAATCCTGTGCACTCCCAAAGTGCCTTGCATAGCAGATACATCAGGAAATGCATGTTGGATGTAATTTTTGTTTAGATATAAGCAATAAGAATGGATATCAATTTCTTTTCAAATTGGATTTCAAAAGGAACAGAAAATACCAAACTTAACCAAACAACTGAATCCACATAAGTTCTTTAAGTTACCCAAAGCCATATAAAATTAAAATAGGACACTTATCTTTGGGATCAGTCCCTGCTGAATTAGCAAAGGTTCATCTTCTTTCAGGCCATCTATGAAGAATTGCTGAATACATTCCAGCAACAGTGACACATACTGAAATTCCTTTTTATCCAGTTCCTAGGTATAAACCACACTAAATTAAAACACTTCTAAATATTTATACATTCATATTTTGGTCACAAAGCAAACCAGCTTACTTGCCTTATTTATTAATCTGTCAAGACGGTATAATAGGAGACGATTATATTTTTGAGGAAAGTGGCTCTCTTTCTGTTCAAAGTATTCTTTTATTTTCTGAAATCCTTTATCATGGAATGCATCCATAATAAGTGATTGAAGCTGAAAAGATGACAGTTTGCACATTACTTTTTCCCCAATAACATTTATAGTAAAATTTCTTTTTTTTTTTTTTTTTGCTCCTGTTGCCCAGGCTGGAGTGCAATGCCATAATCTCAGCTCACTGCAACCTCTCCCTTGAGGGTTCAAACAATTCTCCTGCCTCAGCCTCCCGAGTAGCTGGGATTACAGGCATGTGCTGCCACACCCAGCTAATTTTGTATTTTTAGTAGAGACGGGGTTTCTCCACGTTGGTCAGGCTGGTCTTGAACCCCCAACCTCAGGTGATCTGCCCAACTTGGCCTCCCAAAGTGCTGGGATTACAGGCGTGAGCCATCGAACTCAGCTTATAGTAATATATCTCACTGATATCATTATCAATAAGAATTTGGTGTGAAATAATATATGGTAAATATAGAATGGCGATCTCTAAATAGTAAGCAATCATTTCACAAAGGATTGATGTTCCTGTTAAGACAAGAGTTCCCAAAATGTGGTTCCTGTACCACCAGCAGCATTGACCTCACCTGGGAATTCTTAGCACTCAGACCCAGGGCAGAACCTTTCAGGTGATTCTCATGCATGCTTAAGTCTGGGAACCACTGACCCAAGGAAAGAAAATGACCCTTGAGTTACAGATGTCATTAGGTGACGATCCTCAGCAATGTTGGGAATTCTAAAACACTAAGTAACATAAATGATCATAATGGAAGGAAGAAAATTAAAACTTATAGATAATGAGTATGCAAATTGATACAATGAATGAAATTGATCTTTTCTGCATGCGCATTAGCTAAGATGTGCTTCTAAGTATGTATCCTTGAATAACAGACATTTCCTTAAACATTTAAACTAGAAAAGATTTTTTTATGTTTAAAAAAATCCAGTCCAATCCTACAGGTTAAATTATACAATACTGTTTTAATAAGGAAGCTATTTACTTCATACAGCTCAAAATTACACTTAGTACTGAATTAAAAGGGACAAAGGCATCTAAAATTATTCCTTTTAAACAGAATGTTTTCTAAGTTAACACATAGTGAGCTTTTTTGTGCCAAGTGTGTTAAGTGTTCTGCATATGTTATTATTTAATCCTCACCATGGCCCTGAGAGGTTAGCTTCTTTATCTCAGTATAGAAGTAGCAAGGATAGGAAAGGTTACAAACTTATGTGAGATCACTCAGCTGAAATTCACTCCCTTTTACCTGCTTAAAACTCTACCGTTGCCAGGCGCAGGGCTCACGCCTTAATCCCAGCACCTTAGGAGGTCAAGGCAGGAGTTTGACACCAGCCTGGGCAAAATAGTGAGACCCGGTCTCTGCAAAAAATGAAAAACTAGCCAGGCGTGGTGGCTCATGCCTGTTGTCACAGCTACTCAGGAGGCTGAGGCAGGAGAGTCACTGGAGCCCAGGAGGTTGAGGCTGCAGTGAGCCATGACTGCACCACTGCACTCCAGCCGGGTTGAGAGAGAATTAAAACAAAACAAAATAAAACTTTGCCATGGCTTCCTCTGCATTCAGAATAAATCCAAATCCTTTGCTTTAGTCCACAGAACTCTGCATGATCTGATCTCTGTCAGCTTCTGCAGTCTGCCTTCCCTGCTTGTGAGTCCTAGAATAGTCAAGCTCTTCCTTGCCTTTGAACTGGCTGTTCTAGGCCTCGACTTTGTCCCGCCACTTTCCACATGGCTGGCTCCACTCAGATCACAGCTTAAGCATCACTTTTTCAGGTAGATCTTCCAGGACCACCTTAAGTAGACCAAGTGCCTCCTCAACACTCCCAATTATTCTTCATCACAATACCTGTTTTTTTTCTTCCTGTTTTCTTTGGCTCTGTGCCAGTCTATAAGCTCCATAAAGGTAGAAGTTGTGTCCATTTTGTTCAATACTATCTATCTACATCTAGAATAGGACAGGGCACAAGATAGTTTAGGATATTGGCAGGATAGCTTATGGTGAGATAGGACGTGAGCATTAGGGAAGGAGAAGAAATAAAGATTTCTCTGCTTCTGATTTGAGCAATTGGAGGAACAATTTTGCTAATAACCCAGGGAACACAGAACTAGAAAGAACACACACACACACACACACACACACACACACACACACACACAGAGATTATAAAAGAAACTTGATCTTTACCCAGAAAGCCTTATCCTGGGCCTTCCCAGTCCCATCTTCCTTAATAGACTGCAAAGGAGCTTCATTCTTCTGTGTACAATAAAAACATATTTAAATTTTTTTTTTAATTTTGAAATGCATTTCAAGTTTTAAATATAAAGCAAAAAACATTTAAGGTTTGTATTGTTTTCCTGAACAGAAATTTTTGTTTGCTCATATTATAGGTCTAAGTAAAATAGTACTTAGAAAAAAAACTATCCAACCTTCTTTAGCATGGTCTAAGACAGATACAGTACAAACTATCAGAAGAAGCAAAGCAAACATCATTTGAATAATCACATAAAATAAACTCTATAATGAGGATTATAAAGTAGAAGTAAAAGGCTTTGAGCTAATAAACTGTTTTCAAAATGACAGCGTGTAAAATAAAGCTAAAGTGTCTTGGAGGCATCATACTACCTGACTTCAAAATATACTACGAAGCTATAGGAACAAAAACAGCATGGTACTAGCATGAAAAGAGACACAGACATAGACCAATGGAACAGAATAGATAACCCTGAAATAAATCCACTATCTTTATAACCAACTGATTTTTGACAAAAGTGTCAAGAACATTCATGAGGAAAAGGCAGTCTTTTCAATAACTGGTGCTGGAAAAACTGGATATTTATATGTGGAAGAATGAAACTGGATCCCATGTCTCAGCATATACAAAAATCAACTCAAATGAACTAAAAACTTACACTTAAGATCCCAAAATATGACAGAACTAGAAGAAAATATAGGGAAATCACTTTAGGACATTGGTCTGGACACAAATTTTATAGAGAAGATCTCAAAATCACAGGCAATGAAAGCAAAAATAGACAAATGAAATTATACAAATCAAAAAGCTTCTTACATAAAGGGAATTAATAGAGTGAAGAGACAACCAGCAGAATGGGAGAATATATCTGCAAACTATGCATCCAACAAGCCATTACTATCCAGAGTATACAAGGAACTCAAACACGTCAACAGCAGAATAACTAATCCAATTAAAAATGGGTAAAGAAGCTAAATAGACGTCTCTCAAAAGAAGGCATGCAAATGACCAACAGGTATATGAAAAAATACTCAACATCAGTAATCATTGGAAAATGCAAATCAAAACCAAAATGAGATATTATCTTACCCCAATTAGAATGGCCATTATCAAAACAAAAAACAACAAATGCTGGCAAGGATATGGAAAAAGAGGAGCTCTTCTACACTGTTAGTAGGAATATAAATTAGTATAGACAATATGGAAAACAGTATGGAGGTTCCTCAAAAAACTAAAGCCAGAACTATCATACAATCCAGCAATCCCACTCCTGGAGATATAGCCAAAGGAAAATAAATCAGTATGTCAAAGGCAGATGTGTACTCCCATGTTTACTGCAGTGCTATTCATAATAGCCAAGATCAACCTAAGTGTCCATCAGCAGATGAAGAAAATGTGGTATATCCACACAGTGGAATACTTTTCTGCCAGAAAAAAAGAAGGAAATCCTGTCATTCATGGTAACATGGATGAGCCTGGAGGGCATTACGGTAAGTGAAATAAGCCAGGCACAGACAGACGTCCTGCACAGCTAACTGGGAGGAGTAAGTTCCAGAGCGCGATAGCACTGTAGGGTGACTATAACGAACACTTTATTACATATTTTCAAATAGCTAGACGAGTAGATTCCGAACATTCCAAACACAAAGAAATAACTGAGGTGATGGGTATGTATAATTACCCTGATTTGATTATTACACATTGTATACATGTATGGAAATATCACACTATACCCCATAGACATGTGCAATTATGCGTCGTTTATAAATGATAAAGGCAAAGCAAAAGAACTATTGTGTTAGTAGATAATTGAGTAGAGGTGATAGTGGGATAGAAGGAACAGCTCAAGCTGCAAGTAAAATTGGGTATTAATTCACAGCACAAACTGGCATCAAATAAAACACTCTGCTATGGATCTATAAACAATTTCTAAGTTTTGTCAACAAATTCTGAATTAGTGCGAAATACTTCCCATCCCACGGAGAATATTCCCGGGAGCCTTTATGTTAAGCTTCTTTACCTCTTTTCTCTATAGACACTGCCCTATCTCTCCTTCAGTTCAATTTGTATGCAGAGATGCTCCGTGTATTTTAATTTCTATCTCCTTTCAACCTTCTCTGGCCTTGGTGATCAGCACTCTGCAAATTCCAAAGAAATGCTTCCTGTTTCTGGAATTTCTGGAGCCACTCTAGTGCACAGAAAGGTACCCCCCTACCCCCCGCCGCTGTAAAGATCACGTGGCAGCTTTTGTGGATAGGAACATGTCAGGAAAATCAGAAAATGGGATGGTTTAGGCAGAAAAGATCGTTAGATTCTCTGAGCTTCAGTCTCATTTAAAAAACCATGATAACACCTATATGGAAGGATTGGAGTGAGGACTGACTGAGAGAATGTTTGTAATGTCCTAAAAATGGCTCAGCGAACGGCAGCTTTCAACGTAGGAGGGATGGTGAGGAGGCTATGCTTACGTGCTCTGAATTTAAGCCTAGCTTGATGTCAGAATGGTTTGTGTCCCAAATCTGTTTCCCCACGGCTGGGAAGATGGCGCCAGATGACAGATGGATTTTATGGAGAACAAAAGAGTGAGTTCCTGAATCTAGGCAAGCAGTCACCCCTGGCTATCAGAATCACCTGAGGGCCTCACTAACAAACTACAAACTACGGGCCCACCCTCGACCAATTAAATCAGAATTTCTACCAGTGGGAACCCAGGCAGAAGAATGTCAGAAACAAGCCCCAGGTGGTTTTTGTTGGGTTTTTTTGGCGGGGGAGGGGGAGCCCAGGTGGTTTTTGTTTGGGTTTTTTTTTTTTTTGGTGCCCCAGGTGCTTTTTGTTTTTTTGGCGTCCTGGGTAGGCTCAAACTCTACATGTTTTTATTTTGTACTATTTATTGATAAGTAATAACTGCATCTTTATTTACTCATTTATTTATCTTACAGGCTGTCCTTAGTCATTCGGTTAAATGAAGACCGAGCACTTGCGGCTGCTTAACGCTACTACACTTTCTACGCAGCAACGTGGAAAGAGAGCTGGAAAACCAGCTAGGAAAATACGCAAAGCAACTAGACGAGAACTATCTCGTTGCTTTCCGAACACCAATTTTCCGGTTCCCCGTTTCCTCAGCGCTATATGAGCGCGGGATCAGAGGTTTCTATTCTGCCTCATCTCACTGCAAGCTGCCAATGCACCCCAAGCAAACCCCAGGAGGTGGCGGGGGACAGTGCCCAGCGCCCGGCCTCTGGGCAAACACCTCAGCACTGTGACCCAGGGACCCCGTGCCCTCGAGCACCCTCGGACTGTGGACAGAAGATCCCGGCCCTCCGGGGTCACTCACCTCTTGCATCCCGAGGCTTCCGTCCTGACCTGGCGCGCAGCT